TTTGAGCTGCCTGAGATGGAAGTCAGGACCGCATGGCTGATCCACCCACACCCTTCAAGTACGAGAAGGATGAGATTACCATCACTTCCTTCGCGGACGAGATTTATGCCAAGGCCCTGCCTGCTCACTCAGCGGGAGAGCAGCTGAGTGAAGCTCTCTCTACAGCGTGGGTTTTTGTTCGCTTCGGAACGCTGAGCTCAAGATGGCTGCCTGGAGAGAGGAGACTTTTGCAATTTTCGCTTAAGTCAGCGCCTTTTGAGCAGGTTCTTCCTGGAAATGTGATCCTGGAGGATCCAGCAAAAGGCATGCTCTGGGGATCCAAACAGTCCTGTGTCGTTTCAAAAGAACCTCTGCATGCTTGCAAGCATTGGGAGTTTTCAAACAGAAAAAGTAAACAGGACTGCAGATTGTATGTGCCAGACTTGGAATTTGACCTCAAGGGATCTCTGCCTCTGTCAGGCGAGCTTCAGATCAAGAGCGGCGGTGGCTGGAAGGATGTTGTCGCTGCTTGGAAGAATTGGGTGCCGTGATGTCAATGTTGACTCGTGGAAAGTTTGGTCGAGGCTGAACGGCGGCTTGTTTTTTCCTACCCCCCCTGAGGTCTGGAATCCATACGGTGACGACAAGGCGGCATCTGCAGCTGGAGTTGTTAGCGTTCGCTGTGTCATGTGCACGACAGGACAGGGGCCTGCATGCGACATATTTCTGAATCTGCTTGCAGCAATGCTGCGCTGGACTGTATAGGTCAAGGTAAGCGAAAGTCATCGTGTTCACCGTTGCATCACCTGCAAGATGGTAGCCCTATGATTAGAAAAGCCCTCTCTGCATCACGCGGTTGGAACCTACCTTTGCCACCTGATGTTTTCGGATCCTATTTGCACAACTCTTGATCGACTTTTTTGGATCAACGAATCCTCCGCACATCCATGAATTCCTCGTCGCACACAGTGCAACTTGCATGAGTTTTACTCAAACTACAAGCATTGCGATGGCTCCAGAAGAAGTGACTTACAGCCGGTCTGTTCATTTACATCCCGAACAAACACCCGGCCTGCGCAATTAAGGAGGGTCCGCGCACATCCGGAGGCTCTTGGGCTGGTTTTTTTTGCCGAGCAAACACTGCAAGCAAGTTGCAGCCCGTTCGAGAAGAGGGTGTTGAAAGGTATTCATCTTGAACCCACGTTCATGTTTCATAGCTTAGGTCGCTTTCGCGCATGTGTAGAAATGAGACCAAGAAAGGCTTAGAACTTCCCATATTTTCTTTCTGCCGTTTTGCAAAAGGATTTATTTAGCCTTCCGTTGCTTGCCTTAGTCTTTCGCAGACCGCCTCGAATGTGCCATGGTTTCCTGCATAACCGAAGAGGCCAAACATGAAGAGACACTTTATTCGGCTGCCTGCTTGATAGACTTGTGTCCTGGACATCTTGGTTGCTGTTGTGGTCTTTTAACGCCCTATGTGGTCCAGGCTGTTCACGAGTGTCCGTTTTGTGCGCGCGCGCTGTCTTCTGTCTGTCTGTCTGTCTGTGTGTGTGTGTGAACCGGACAAGTATGTTTCCATCGGCTTGCACAAGACGTCCGGCCGGCAGGTGGGTTACAAGACGTTTGTCTGCGTCACTTGGCTGAATGAGATCGGGGCTCGGCAGCAGAGCTTTGTATTCCTGACGTAGGTGTCCAAGGCTGACTGAGGGAGAAAGCATGCTGAAAACCAAACGGGTGAATGCCAGGTTGAAAGCGTGGAAACCGAGAAGGTATCGCTGGCCGCAGGCAAGACTTGGGAGGCAACCATGGACTTGGTTCCAAAGAACAAGTAGGTCAGCCCCAACACGTCGGCCGTCGAGGGCCTGTCAGGAGCCCCAGGATATGGACTAGGCTGCGGTTCCCTTTTGAATGGCTCAGTCAGCAGATGTCGGCATATCGGGGCATCCTGCGCTACAAAAGCAGAATGAGCCTGTCTGTGAAGGCTGTGTGGAGGTAATCTCTCGATCTCTCAATCCTTTCACTCTTGCTTTAGAACCATCATTGCTGACTTTGCTCGGCGCAAGCAGCCGCATGTAGTGCAGGCAATGGTCGAAGTCCCAAACCGACCTAATGGGAATGGAAGCCAAAGAGGAGTTGATCTGCAGCCTTGTCCTGGCGAAAGTTGAAAGTGTAAAACATGTGTAAAACATGTAAAACTAAGTACATTCTGTTGATTTGCCAGGATGCCATTCTCAGCCCTACTAGTCTTCTCTAGGAGCTGGAGCTCCGGATTTTCCAAACTCTTGAAGCGGTGCTGCGCTGTGCCATCTGCATGCGAGCGCGCGCTGGATATCAATTGCTCTTGACATTGAATTGTGTCAAAATCGCTTCACCTGAGATTAAGCAAACAAAAGAGATCCGCTTTCTGCCATGAGACGTGAGACATGTGGATGTAAACGCTTCGCGTGTCCAAAAGGTCAAGGACACTTGCAGGACAGATTCTCATTCACGGCCAGGAGCGGTCCGGGATGTATCCGGTACCTTTCTGCCTGAGATGCGGCCAGTCATTGCGGTACCAGCAGTTGCATGGTCATGCGAAGACCTGCAAGCATCTGCGGTTTGCACAGAAAATGTGAAACAATCCTGCAAGAAGCCATGGCTCTTGCCTTGAAAGTTCTGCGGCAACCGCAGGATATCACAGGAAATCTCAGGCGCCATCATACGCGCCGTCACGCACGGCAACTAAACCCTAAACCCAGTTCTTCTACACCAGTTCTTTGTCTTTTAGATTCTCTTAGCATGTTTCGTTTGTTCCACTTTTTCCGGGCTTTCCTAGAAATTTCTCTCTACTTTAATAAGAAAACCTACGTTGTCTCTACTTTTCAGTAGGCAAGCTTCTATGTCCTCTTTGTTTAAACAGGAACTTCTTCTTTACATTCTCATACGAAAACAACTGATATCTCTACAGTTTAGTAGGAAAACCTCAGTTTTCCCTTTCAATCAAGGCTTGTCTTTCTCGAAGTTTGTTCTCAGGGTAACCTCTATGTTCATGCACATCCTCTTTGATCAGGAAACTTTTGTTTGCTTTACATCGATAAACAGACAGATGGCAGGAACGAAAGAAATAGACAACTTAAGAGATAAATAAAGAAATGACGACAGAAACACGAGCGAGAAAAGAATACAGAACCATGCAGCAAGATGATAAAACTATTTGGATTGAAGCCTTCACGCGAGGATGTTGTTTTAACCCATGCAAGCTTGCTTTGTAAAGAACATCAACCCATGAAGAGGACTTGCATTCAAGAACGTTGCACTTGCAAATGTCCCCATCCCCAACTCCCTCTGCCTTGTTTGTATTTCTGTAACAAATATGCGAATCCGCTCCAAACCGGTCATGCGAGGCTTGTGTTTGCAAATGGGGAGGGACGGCGGGGCTGCGCCCTCCCCAACCCCTTTTCCATGTATTTCCCGGCTTACTTGGGGTCCTTACAGACTGAACGCAGGTTCTGCTCCGACAAAGCCTTCCCATTGCTTCTTATTAGGCTTTATTGCAAACCTCCCAAATTACATCTTGTTCGGCTCTTAAATATGGCCAAATATTCAAGATGCCCTGGGTGTCGCTCTGTGAACATATGATAAAAGATGATGATGTGTGATATGTTGCGATGCTGATTATTTAGTATGGTCGAACCACAGGGCCTGGAGCCTCACACTTGCAAACCTAGTTCAATCCAATCAAACTCCAACCCCTGAAATCCAAACGACTGACCAACGACACGGCACTTAAGACTTACCAAACACACCTATGCCGGGCGCGGGGCCTACATATTTCAGCCCAACCACCTGATCTTATGGTAAACTCCCGATTCCGGTAAAAAATCGCACCAGAAACCTCTTTTTTTGCCACACCTTTCGTTTTTCCCCCACCTTCGGTGTGGGGTTGTTAGATTTAAACTCAACTCTTCTCCTCGCCCGGAACTTTTCTCCTCGCCCTGTCTACTCCTCGAGACTTCCTAGAGTGCCCAACACCAGAGACTCCCTGGAGTGCCCAATCAGAGGATTTTCTGAATTGCTCAATCCAGACACTTTCTGGAGTAACCCCAAGAGACTCCTGGAGTGCCCAACCCCAGAGTCTCCCTGGAGTGCCCAACCTCAGAGTCTCCCTGGAGTGCCCAACCCCAGAGACTCCCTGGAGTGATCGAAAATTCCAAATCCCTAAGGTGGGGATGTTCGAAGTAAATACTTTTTTAAATCAAGGTACGTCTTAAATCCCGCGCCCGGCTAAACAAATACAGCAATGAGGTTTTCCTAGCAAATATAGAGAGGATAGCGGTTTCATGATTCAAATGCAAAGAAAATACGAGTTTCCTATAAGAATAAGGAGATCACAGAGGTTTTCCTCTAAAGTACGAAAATCGAGGTTTTCATTGGCAAGCTCATATAACCTTGCAGTTTTCTAAGCGTTTGTCGGGCAGTTTAAGCCTCGCATGGCCTCGCATGGCGCAATGGAAAAGTAGCCCAATTATCATCAACGTGCCGGTCGAATGGTCAAGGGACACATGCTGGAGATGTCAGTCTGCCTGGGCTTGAGTTTGAGCTGCGCTGCTCACCAATGCACCTTTGCAGGTTCGGCGAGCTACCCCCCAACGCTGAGGCGCACAATCTAACACGCGGAACTGACTGGGATCTGCGATGGTCTACGCGCCTTGAGTTGGTTTGGAAATGTCCCTGGCATTGAAGCATAGTGAAGCATGGTGAAGCATATCGGACCTGTACTTTTCTCAGTTGCTCTGGATTCGGGCAAGGCGTGGAAACCCTCGGTGGTCCAGTTTGTACATAAGCAGAAGTTCCAGCAAAGGATAGTTCATTGCATCATAATTGTGGGACACCGGGTCGCTTGAGCCCAACACGGGCAGACTGGTGCGACGATGCGAGGCCCAAAGCAAGATGGTCAGCGACATGGTTCAGACATGTTCAGATCGTGGCAGATGAGAGCCTTGAAGCATTTGAAGCTGCTGATCGTTCTCGAAGTTTCCAAGGCTGAATTGCACGCGGCTGCGGCAAGCCAACTGCCTCCACAGGTGCGCCGCGTCACGTCAACACTTGCAAACAAAATGGCGATTCTGCACTCCACAGACAATGCCGTGACAAACAACACCAAGTCTGAAGCTTCGGGCCTTTTCGGGATGCTAAGGGGGCAGCGCCCGTGTGGATGTTGCAGCAGCTTCAGGCGCCCAATTTGCATTTTTTTCCTGCAACGTTTTGCTTAGTTTTGGTGCCTTTCTTCTGCTTCAAGAGAGAGTGCATCTTTTTGATTAAAGTAGAAGATGTAGAAGCCAAGGTGCACAATAGTTCAAACACCCCAGAGCAGCCAGAGCGCTTTAAGAGGTGCTCGAGGCAGATTGCGAGCTCCTGGAAATGTCCTATGCGCAGGTGGGTTGGTGGCTGTTGAGGAGAAGAATGCTCCGCAGAAAAAGGTTCGACTCTGCTTGCTTCTGCAGACAGGCGCAAGAGAAGCGCAAGGAGCTGGAGGATCGTGTCCTCCAAAGGCCACAAAAGCAAGCCTTGCGAGCTGCGAGTTTCTCTTTTGTGTCCTTTTTGCATGGTTGGGTCGCTGGAGTAGACATTAGCAAGCTGCCAGGGCAAAATCTCATATCTGCAGATCCCAATCCGATGCTGTACGTCTGACCTCCTTTATATCGGCCTTTTCGGCAGAGTTTTTGTCGTCGCTGGAGTCTCTGTATAGAGAGTGCCAAAACTGCTTCAGACTTCCTCAATCCTCTTTCATCGATATTGATGTTAAGCTAGGATTGCTCTTGGGACGAGAAACGAAGGGAAAGCTTGCTGAGAAGTGCTCTACACTCTTAACACCTGTACCCCAGTCAAGTCCCATTCGTTGCTACCTGTACGTGTGCAAAGAAGGACGGCCATCTTGTGAGGCAGCATGCGCAGGGTCGTGCCAGTTGTAGCTCATGTTTAAGAATATTCTATGATGACGGTTACTTGTGAAGAGGTCCGAAGTCTTTTCGCTGACCCCCATGTCAACCCCACGGCATGTGACTGCCTAAAGGGAGTCGAGCCTGTCAGCGTGGCACTTTTCTTGTCGTTGCCAGGCTGCACATGGAGCAGCAAAGTCAGCTGAAGGACATAGGCGCGACAACATCGGCCCATTTCTAGCCCAACATCTATGTATATATAAATGTGAAAAAAAAATATATATATATATATATATATATATATATATATTGACATATTGACACATTGACATATTGGCATATTGACATATTGACATATTGACATATTGACATATTGACATATTGACATATGTATACATATACCCATAACCTCCCCCCCCCCCGGGCCCCGCCCCCCCCCCCCCCCCCCCCCCCGATCTACTTAGAACCCAGAAGCGCCAAAAACACCCAACTTAGACAAACAAAACCGCCCAAAACAAAAGGCCCGAACCAAAGAGTTAGCAACATTCTTCTGAGACTCATGGAAAGAGGAAGCCCAACATGACCAAACCAAAAAGCAAAACCCCCCGTAAACAAAACCAATAAACACAAAACCCAAGAACAACAATTAAAGGACAACTATTTCCAAACTCTTGACGTCACGGGTAATGGTTCCCTTCTTCCAAGAGCGTCAGAATATTGTTCTTTTGTTTAGTTTTTGTTGGCTTGTTTTTTTTGGGTTCATGTTTCCAAGAACCTCAGTATGCACATATATATGGTTCGGTGTCGCCCAGCCCCCCCCCCCCCAACTCCCCCCCTACACCCTCCCCCCACCTACCTCCTGGTTCTTAGTGTAAGTACCACTTGCTTAGCCCCTGAGCAGCTGAAGGAGCAAGATGCCCGAAAGGCAGTTGCAGAGGTTTTATCTCGTCAAAATAGCCCATAGCCATACCATGAAAACAAAAGCCGCATGAAAGGCATCTTTTGCCATAGCAGTTGACATGGCCAAGCTGCGCAGGCAACTTGACGGACATCGTTAGCCACAGCAAGCGGGACGAGTGCAATTCCTAGCTCGGGATGTGTTGAGGGTGACAGCCTTTTCGAGCAACCTGGATTCCGCACTGTCAGCCTTTCCGCATTGTCAGCCTTTCCAACCTGTTGCTTGTGAGGCCTGCCCCAAGCGTGGAGCCTCTGAAGGAAGAGGCCGGGACATCCCATCATGTCCCATCATAGCAACGGAGGTTTCCCAAGTCCGGGAGGGCCTAGGAGGCAAAGCTATGAACTTGCCAGAAGATATCGGGCTTGTTGGACGCTTCGGGATCAGCCGTCGCTTGTGCGAGGTTTAGGCATGGTAGCTTTGGTGTCATCTCAGGGTCACAAGTTGGCAGTGTTTCGTAGGCAACAAAGTGTGGTGGTCTGCCTGTTCTTAAACCGATGAAGAGGTCCAAATGGCGTATGCATGTAGACAATGCCGCAGACCACAGACGCCCCCTCGAAGAGCGACAGGTCGATAAGGCCGTTAGCTGAAGCCCGAAGGCTAAACACCCTTCCTTAGCTGCTCAGCAAGAACATACATACATAAGACCCAAAGGCAGCAAATGTGAGGAGCGCAGAAATTGCAAGACTTAACAGGCGCGGAGCGCCGAAAACCCAAAAACAAACAACGAGAAAACAAGACCTAGCTACGGCCATAGCGGCCATCCAAGTCACGATTGCGAACATCAGCAATGGCATTAAGAAGCCAAGCATCATGTTTCCGGTGGCCGGATGGACAAGCAAGAGCGCAGGACACACAGGCATCATGCTCGGCGGTCTACAGTTGCTTCCACAAGCCTACCACGTTTGCAATTATTTGCAATGAAGTGCCAACATCAAATTGATAGAAACGGCTGGGAGAGAGGGGACAGAGAGCTCCGTATGCATGACAGCATGCCTAGCCCAAGAGACGTACGCCTCTCTATGCGCGGTGCACAAGGTCGCGCGCTTGTTTTGCATGCTCTGAGTTGCAAGGGATGCCAGTGACGCCCCGACTGCTCGTGAGCATTCCAGAGCTGAAGCCGCGAAGTTTCTCTTAATTGATGCATCTCCAAGAACTATCAAAGCTGGGTGAAGACCCAAGTTCGAAGGTCCTTCCCAGAGCCTTCTCACGGAAACCCAAGCCCTTTATGAAGCTGCGAATCCTATCCGAAAGGAGCGACGAACCCCAACAAGTGAGAGTCCTGATTTCCAAACGGCTGAAAAATCGGGCGCCCGCCACGTACATCCATGCATCAATGTGATGCCGATGCTAACTAACATGCACCTGCCACACCATGTGAATGCAATCTGGCATCCTGTTATATATTGTGCTCTTCTCCTGGTTGTTCTTCTATTGGATTGTGAAGGCAGCGCAGCTCCGTGCAGAGGCAGAGCGCCTGCGCGCGCAGCGTGCCAAAGACCAGGTGGGAAATTAGAATGGGCCACGATGGGCCACAGGAACAGATCTCTTGACCAGCAGCCGTGAGGCGCAAGCTTCGCAGCAAAGCACAGCTCTTCGGCAAGAGCTCTGTGACCTGCAGGCCATCCACTCAGAGCTTGCGCCAATTCACCGTGTTGCTTTCTCTTTCGAGTCCTGAGTTGTTGCCGGTCCGTCTGCCTGCAAGGACCACTGTCAGCAAGCGTTGGCGCGACGAAGCCGGCTGGAGGCAAACGTGAAGGCCAAATGGATCGAATTGAAAGCTTTGCAAGAAGCCAAGAAGCCTGAGCTATTCCAGCCGAAAGGATTTGAAGAACTCGCACAGCAACTTCGCCAACACCAGCCGCGAGGTGCTGGAGCTGCGAAGGGACAAGGCAGCATCAGCTGGGTATTCTGGGCCAGGGTTGCCTGCTTGTCCGCCGCTTTGGTTTCGGTGGCCAAGCATGATTTTCTCCGTGGTCTGGATAGGTTGGCATTTTGATGTTCGTACCTGCACTTTCTACCTGGAGCCCGAGAAACTGCTTGAGTCCTGCCGCCGCCTACGCTTGTCACTCGCCCTCTTGCCAAGGCTAACAGGGAAACTGCTGTGGCTAGTCTGTTTCGATCAGTGCCTTACTTCCGTCTCCCTGCCATTGCCCTGTTGCATGATGCAGCTCAATGCAAGTCCAATACTGGTCCCATCGTCGTTTGGCTTCGGCACATCGGATCTTGTGCCCAGACCAAGGCGGCTAAAACTAAAAGACTGCGTTCCTTGCCGTGTGGGCTGTCCGCGTGCAAGTCACTCCTCAAAGCTAGCGCTGGTCGGTGTTTCTCAGTCGGAGTGTGGCGAGAGAGTTTGCTCGCCCAAAATGTTGGAGCTGACCAAAATTGTGTTTGAGCTAAATGGGCAAGACGTGCTTGCTAGGAGCTATTGGACAAGGATCGCCAGAGGATGGAGAGAAGGACCTCAGAAGCCGCTCCGTATCATATCGTTTCCTTTCAGTAATCGAGCACGTCCATATGAAGTTCTGTTGCAGGCGAGGTGCCAGATATGTCAGTTCGGCCACATGTTGGCACATGTTGGTATGTTCTTTGTGTGTGTGGTTGCAACTGCTCATCGTCTTCTACCACCCAAATGGGGACGAGGGATCAAACGTGCAGACCCAACTTGGTTCACAGAATTGTTCTTGCTTTCACTTAGTTGGAAGCAGTTTTGTGAGAGAGCAGCCCTGGAGGATAGCCATCCTGGATGCGAAAATTGAGAGCTTGCAGAAAGAGGTCCACTTCCACTGCTAGAAGTCTTCAACGTAGTATCTCTGCTTCAGTGCGTAGTGTGTCTTCCAGGCTGAAGACCTTCGTCAGCGTGCTTGTGTGGCTCTTCTGCAGATATCAAGTATCAGCCATTTTTAGGTGCGAAACGTGTTGTGATTTTGACAAATGCGTTTCATGCGAGGTGGTCATGAGTTCTATGCCAGAGCAGGCAGCGACTCTCGGTGACGCCCAGGCCTGCTGTACAAGGCTTGATGCAATATTTTTGGCCTGGCGGCAAGAACCGATGCCATGGCCATTCGCTGGAAAGCCTTGCAGATGCCCCTTGGATTGCCCCCTGGATCCCTTTGGGGAACGCACGTGCACAACCCGCAGGCCCATAGGCGCACCGGCGCGAAGGGGCCTCCACCCAGTAGGTATTTCGTAGTTGCCAGTTGCTCGGCTTAGCTTCCGGCTCTTCACAAGCCGGCGCAGGGTTTTGTCAGGGAGATCAGAGCACGCCAACACGATTCAACACGCCGCGCCACCGAGCTGGGGTCGACGGGAAGGTTTCAACAGTCCCAAATGCCTGCAAATGCCTGCAAATGCCTGCATGTGCGGTCATGTCGCAGTGTCATGCAGCGTCGTACTCGTATGGCTGTGCCTGCAAGGTCTGGCAGCTGCAGGAGACCGGTGCAGAACCGATGTTGAAGTGCAGTAGGTTCTCTTGTTTCAGACGAAGCGTGAGAGCTTGTTCGGTCCATCCTTGCAAGCAGTGTGCTGTCTTTGGGCTTTGGGCCTGGTGGCTTTGTTTGAGTTTGGACGCCTCCTTTCGAGCTCTTATAGGTCTTGCTCTCTTTCAACCAAGCTCCCACACCGGGCTGGGGACAAGGTGGTGAGACAGTGGTGTCTTGCAGTGGGTATGTCTCGTCCATTTCCGGCAATATTCATATCGTCAGATCAGAGATTCGACAAAATGGAACGCGCCTTGCACCTGAGACCGATCTGTACGTTCCTACTGACTTGCGGGAGCGGAGGGCACCGCGAAAGGATGGCACTTTTCTGCTCCAATTGTTTGGTGCAGGACGCTCTTCAGCAGAAGCAGCTGCAGGTCCGAACGACAATACAGGGCCAGGGCAAGTGCACGTCTCCCGTGCAGACCACATGTGTAGAATCTGGTCGGCTGTAAAGTTTACAGTCCTGTTCAGGTGCAGGAGCTGCGCCGCCGGGATGCCCGCGCTTTGAGAGAGCAGGAGAGCCGAGCGCAGCCACGGTGTGCCTGGTACGAGAGGTGTAGGACGTGAGGTGCAGGAGCTGTGCCTTCCCTCGCGTCTTTGACGTGCTTCTGTTTTGGGAAGGATGAAGCGCATCAGCTGCTAGAGACGGCCCAGGCAGCACCAGTCGAGACTCGAGATTTGGGGTGTTTTGGTTTTGGGTTGAGATTTGGACCGACTTGGTGTGAGATTAGAAACTTGGGATTTTGAAGTCTTCCCAGTCCCACATCGCTCACATGAACTTCACCTCGCTCATCTCAACTCATCTCCTGCAGCTTCTCGTCTGACAGGCCTTTCTATCGTGTCGGCCACGCGCTTGTCATTTCTGGCAATACTCTGCTCTTGCTACCACTCCACCCTCACGTATTCAACTCAGTTCTTCACATACAATGCATGGCATGTCTTTGCACAAATATTTTTTGCACACACACACACACACACACGCAAAGGCTCTCTCCATTCGTTTTGTACCATGCGGCAATCGGATACAGGGCAGGCTGTTAGCTGCAAAACGCTGTCATACGAAAACCGTAAGTGCATGGTAGACATGCGCTGATGTAGAGCGAAGATAGCATCCATGGAATATGACTTAAGATAACTGTACAACTTCCCATGAGCGTTGAAGGTGGATGCTTCTGTCCTTGAGCGCAAGATCCGGCATTTGAGCAGCAGGTCTCCACCTGTACAGGCAGGAGGAACTGGGTAGTTTGCCAAGCCAGACCATGAAACCTAGATTCTCTTGGCCCTCAACTTGCGCGACAAACGTCTGTTATCTCATGTCGTGTATATACTGACCGAAGACGGTTGTTCGAGGTCCCTATCCCTCTCTCGTTCTCAACTCCAAGCAACACTACGGGATTGCATGGATTGTGTCTATCTATCTGCTTTGCCAGAATCGGTCATGATCTACCTGCATGTTTCCTCTGTATCAAATGGAATGCTGCTGCTGAAGATTGTTGAATGTTGCCTGACCAGGCCTGACACTTTTCAGCTGAAGAGCTGTGAGCAGCAGCAGGGCAGCCGCAGGGAGCAGGCTTCGTCCAATCTAGAATCATGCTCAAGCTGGTAGATCCACATTACCTGCAGACCATCAAAGGTCATGTTCAAATGTTCTCTAAGATTGATAGGTGATGAAGGGTGGTCATCCAGTGTCAGCTGGCTGCATCAGCATTTGGTAGGTTTCTCAGGATATGGTGCGTTTTGCATGTCGTCAGGTCATGATGCAGTCGACTTAAACCATTGGACGCGGTTTCGGTGTCTTGAAGGGCAGGTGCAGGGATCATCCTTGAGCACTCCAGGGACATCCAGGGATTCTCTAGTGGTGGCATAACCCGGGGTGGGCGTTGCAAAGGTACTTTGTGGGACACTCCAATAAATTCTCCAGGGATTTCTGGGTGCTGGGGATGCTCTGTCGTTGTCGTTGGGGATGCTTTGTCGGTAGGCGCTCCAGGAATGTAGGAGCCTTCAGGGCTACTGAGTGAAATGTCCTGGGGGTGGGCGCTCTGGGGATGAGGATCGGGCCCTCTAGCGATGAACGGCGCGGCAGATCTAAGCAGACCCGGGGTGGGGAGAGTAGGTGAGTTGAAATACAACTGCAGTGTTGTCCTTTTGTAGGATTTGGAAGGCCTCCGTTGTCCAAGTTCCGAAGTTCTCGTAATGCGACCATATGCGACCTGCAGTCGCGGTGAAGGTTCCCCAAGCGCCTCTCCGAAGACCGAGGGCTGCAAGCCACTGTAGGCGCTTGTCAAAATGGCGAGACGCCTGACGTTCGACTCGTCGACGGACCATGCCGGCACGTGCAGACACAAGTCTCTGCGCCGAGCTTCAACGATTCTTGGAGCGAAAGCAGCTCGAACATGGCCGCCTAAATTCGGTGACCGTAGCTGTAGCTGCCCTTCAGAGTGTTAGGACTGGAAAACGCGACATCAACTGACTGAAACGTGACCTCTGTCAGCTAAAAGTGTGGCAGTTCATGTTTGCCAACTTGGCAATATCTCATGTGTTATCATGTGTTTGCCATGGCGTGCCCGGCTTTTTTTGGTTCCGGTGGTGGGCCTTGTCCAGAAAATCCATGACAAGATACTGCCAATATTTCGGTAGAGATGGGAAGCTCCAGCAGATGAAGTCGGGCCCAGCACTTCAGCTCTCCACTGGCAGCGCTGCCGTGGAGTCTTGCACGCCATGGCCCTGTCTACTCAGCCTACTCTTCAGTTCCATGCAAGTTGCGCCTAGAGCCCAAGCCATCCAGAGCCACATGCTTTATCCAATAAATCGGCTGTCGGCGACAAAACTTTCACAGCCATGGACTGGCAGCGATGCAAAAGCTCAGTCGCTCGTTTGCACCTCCCGCGGAGATGTAGAAACCCGGCTTGTGAACTTCAAATGTTCTATTCAACGGGAGGAAGGAATCGGTGACAGGCTACCCGAAGTTCGAAGCAATCACACCCCGTCCAGCCGAGGGGTTGCCTGCGCTGCTGGATTCTCGTCTGCATGTTTATTATTGAGAACCATGATGTGCCCAGGGACACTGCCGACATTCTTTCTTGACCTCGCTCTTGACTGCGACGTTCAGAGCACTCGTCGCTTCTCTTAGGGATTTTCATCATCTCATGCGACTTTTGTGCTTGTTCCCCAACACGCAGGCCGTTCCGGCCATGCTGTGGCTCGCTGTCTGCTGCAACGTGCTCCAGGCAAAAGGGGAGAATGAGAAAGCGGCATAGCGGTTCGGAAGTGCCAAAAGGAAGCGGGAAAGCAGAAGGAAGTGTCAAATGGAGTGTCCAAAGCAAAACAAAGAGTTTTGAATGAAAGCCACTGCAAGAAGTGCAAAACACAACAAGCAAGATGTGTGTTCTGCAGGTGCTTTGCCTGATCCTTTGGGTGGCGGGACTCCGCAAGGATTGGAGCAGTTTGCGTGGCGTCATGCACTTGGCTTCAAAGCGAATGCTTGCATCTGCTTCCTGCTGCCTGCAGGAGTACACGCAGGCGATACGATTAATCGTCGAGGTCATGCACAGGCATGCCTGCTAATGTGAAGGAAAGCGGTCCAGCGCATAACGATTGATGGGCGCAAGATGGCGCAAGAAAAGACAGCAGGGAACAACTGCAAATGCTTCCAGGGATGTTTGGAGCTGTGCATATCATGGGGCAGAAGGTTTCAGTTTGGGATCGCTGTGCCATTCTTGGGGCATGCTTCCTAGCTGAATGCCACCCTGACAAAAGGCCTTTCCTCTACTTGATGCAGTATGCTGGTAGCAGGCCAGGGCTTCGGATTGGGAAAGTGAAGGTGAAGCTTCGTCAAGTGAAAGACTGCCTGAGATCAACCCAGGGTATACATCTACGGCGAGGGTGATGTCAAGGTGCCTATGGTGCAAGATGAAAGCTGCTGCAAAGTCGAGCGTCGTTTGTGAGTGTCAAGGAATGAACGGGGTTGCACAACATGCTCGAAGCGTTATGCTTCAGTGCTTGACGTTTTGCACACAATGCACCCCGTCATGAGGTACGTTGTGCTCGCTGCCTGCCCGTCTCCCCTCTCGAAGCAACAGCTGCGGCATAACTGTATATAACTGTCCTGTCCTTCTCGAGGCAGATATCCTGCAGAGTTTGGGCTACAATCAGGCAACTGTTCTGAGCGAATCGCTGCCAGCAGTACAGCCTGAAACTTGTAATTTCTTTGCCATGACAACTCTCCATGCCCTCAAAGACTCACAAAACTCGCTGTGCAGTGGCTGTGCAGTCCTTGATCTTCTCCAACCATCGCGGAGACTTAGACTGGCTGATTGGCCTGATGGCCCACACCGGCATGTTTGTTTGCACCCAAGCACGCAATGGCGCCTTCACCTTTCACAATTTTCACAACGTGGGGAACACACGCTTTGCGACTGACTGTTGTAAGCATTGCTTCTATCTGTAGCACTCTTCATCTGTTACGCAATCAACATGTGGAAACGCAGCGGCTGCTTCCACTGCTTCTGCTTCCGATTCCTGCTGTTGTTGCCACTATGAGTGCCGCGGGCACTGCCAAGATTGCTGCGACTGCTCCTGCTCTTGATGCTGCTGCTGATACTCGTGCTATCTCGTGCTTCTTCCACATCCTTCTGTTAAACCACCATTCATGACATTCGTGCTTCTGCTTCAACAACCACTACTTGTCCGTGCTAAACATGTCTCAGGCGCAACGGTTCCAGATTTCCTTGCTTTTGCAGGTGGAGGACAACGGCGGAGGTCTAGGCACTTCTTGCCTTTCTTGTTGACAGCACCGAGACTGTGCAGAGATTGACCAATAAACCGATAGAAGAGCAGAGCGAGTAAACAAAAGGCGAGAGAGAGAGAGGGAGAGAGAGGCGAGAGAGTGAGAGAGAGAGAGAGAGAGAAAGCGCGTTGGAGCGTGGTGGGGAGGGCACCCCAAACCCTGAGGCCTGCTCTTTAGAATACAAGTGTTATCCAGACCAGGCGTTAACAGGTCTCTTTGTGTGATGCGGCATAAAAGGGCGAATGTGACGGGGAAATGATGAACGCATCCAGGACGATGCGGTTGATCTGTGGTGCCTTCTTGGCCCCAAAGCCTTATTTTTGTTGGGGCTTCGCGAGTCTCGTATAGGCCTCTGACCAGACCATCAATCTCATGACGTCCATGAAGAGCACCCATGAAAGGTTCCAGCTCCGGAGCCCCCAAAAAGCCACACAAAGTTTAGCTTGTCTTTATGAGTGTGTTCCCGCATGCCTTACAAAACCCCCGATTCAAACACTATAAACACTCTAAAATGTAAGGCTTGCCTCTTCCCTGCAGCTGCATTTTGGTTGACTCCGTCGTCTTCGTCGGGTTCAGCCAATGTCTATAATTCTCATGGTTTTCTTATGATCTTTTTTTTTTGTAATGCCTTGCTTGCTTGCTTGGAGGATTTGGAAATGAATTAGTTTGTAAATATTTTTCAAGGGTCTCCAGAGGTGGTGTTTCCTAGAGTCAGTATTTTCCCATCTTAGTACCTTTACTTTCATATCTTTTGCTAATCCTTTCTGTAATCTGAGAATTTGGAGGTGGTATCTTGTCCACCATTATCACCTTTCAAGTACAGGAAACCTTATGTTTGGATTATTCCTCTCTGGTATATCTTCGTGCCCTACGTCTCAATTTTTGGACAGCATTTCTAAACCTGAGATCTTATCATCTGACATCAAAGATTATCCCATTATTTCCTTGGGGCTTTCTTGATTACAGCTTTCATGCCTTTATTAACATTGACAGCCTTCTCTGGTACACTTCTTTTAAAATTGGATGATCTTCATTCTAATACACTTTCTCTTTGACCCTATATTTGGAGGATCCTATATTCTCCCAACACTTGGCTTTCTTCTGGCTGGCTCTTCAGACTTTACTTTTTGGGTTTTTGTAGAAACTACAATAAGGAGCCTAAAAGTTAAACTTTTAGGAGGGGTTCAGAAGCCAGCCAAGAACACATGTTCTTGCAGAAGTTTGCACTTAATGCCTCCTGCCCTTGGGATCATTTCCCTACTAATTTCTGAGATTTTACCATCAAGAATCTTCGGTAACCAACCAAACGTCTTTGTCAGATCATCTGTTTCTCTTCTTGGAAGTCTTGTTTGGGGGCATTATACGTACACTGGTTTAGAAACTGGTACAGGAGCATACTTTACAGGAACTACCGTCTTGGTATCCAACTGGTACAGAACTTTTTATGGGCTTTTTACAAATCTTGGAAACCCACCAGTATTTCACCTTAAAAAACGGTCTGTAGATCAAGGATTTCATGATACATTTTATGTTGTCGCTCATTTTCATTTTGTTCTTTCTTTAGGAGCTGCAGCTTCTACCTTTTCGGGAATGTTTTAATGGAGAGAAGACTGTTGGTACTAAGAGCTTATTACTTGCATTCATCTACATGCAATATTGTTCCTGTGCTTACTGCATGGTTGGTTGGGTAGGGGCTACACGCAGTTTTATGTGTGGAGCCTCGGCTGAGCCATTGAGGCTCCAATCCAGTTGTTTTTCCCATGTGCATTTCTTAGGGTTTAATGTCACGCTAAGAAGAGTCCCATCCTTTCCAGATGAATTGATACTTGGAAATCTGTGTCATCTGTTGGGTCGTTTGGTTTCTTGCGTTCACTAAGTTCACGCCTTCTGTACGTAGTTTATGGGGTTTGCCCTAAGAGGGATATTGGTATTGTACGCACAAGCCTTTTTAGACCACTCACGCACTACGATTACGATCACCCAACAGCCCGTACGATTCAGCGGTTTTAAGTGGGCTTTTGGATGCACTCTTCTGTTAATCTTCTTTGTATCCTGGATTTACAGTAAATTACAATGTGTCCGGCGCTGATGCTAATAGCAATACGGGCGACAAGAACCTCGTCAAATATAGTACTGTTATTAGGGTTCTTTTCACTCCTTGAATGATATAGCTGATATACCAGTGAGTGAAATAGTATTGTTTTGCAAGGCATGACATGAGAAGAAGAAAGAGAAGGAGAAAAAGAAACAGCAAGAGAAAGAAAAGGAGAAAGAGAAACAGAGAGCGAGAGCCTTGGCCATGGTTGCAACCGGGTTTGGCGGTGGGAGGGCTTGGGGCCGGGCTGGTGAATCAGATCCCATCATTAGGTCCAACCGGTACCCTTCCCGACGAGTTTGCTTTTCCCGGAGATGTCCGAAGATCCGCAGACTTTCGGCAGCGCACCGAAGTAACGCAACGTTGCATGAGTGGCAACACCACTGCAGGCTGCTGCAAGGCCATCGTGAAGCAGGAGCTCGTTTTCTTGCCTCTTTTTGGCTTTGCCTGGCGGGGACCACATCTCGAAGTCCGTACATCGTGGTGTCGTGGAGTCGCTCCTTTGTTTCACTGAGGTGGTCAGCGGACTTCATCTGCATCAACAGGTGCGGAGAAGTGTGGGGGAGTGGAGAAGCGAAGCCAGCCGCGAAGCCTCAGGAATTGGCAGTCCGATCGACGAAAGCTGGACGCAGGCTTTGTGCCTATGCAAGTGTCGGTATACAAACGTGCAGCCGTGTATGCCGTCCGCTTTTTGTGCTGGGAGATGTTGGGATTGGGATGGCTGGCTGAGGTTATCAGCGACAGCACGAATACCGAAAATGGGCCTCTTTCTGAGTTGACGTACGTGCATGTGGCGTGCATGTGGGTGCGAGCTGGCATCATGCTGGTTGGAGCAGAGCATCATCGCCAGAACATGTGCTCTTCTGACCAGGCCATCCCCTACACACTCACCATCTTTCCCGAGGGCACTCGGCTAACGCCGGAGAAGCTGCGTGATAGCCAGGACCGAGGCGGTGCAAGCACGGCTGCAATTGCCAGTAGTGTGTGGATGCAGGAGGATGTTATACTACATGTTTGAGCAGTCGTTTGCCGAAGTGCGCTTTGTGGATAAACATCGCATGACTTCACCTTGTCACCGTTTTGTCTCATCGGATTGGGCGCCGTGAGGACTTTTGCGCGTCCAAGGGCTATCCGAGGCACTCAGATCTATGCAGTCATGTCGCACTTGTCAGAAGATTTGGTTGTTCCTGCCGTGTCGGTCCACTCCTCCCACCCCGTGTGCGGTACGTTCTACGTTTACCGGGCAATGCAATTGTCAATTGTAAACGCTAGAGTGCGCCGAAGTTAAGGCGACATCTGGGTCTCTATGAGAACTGTTGGACTCCACACAGTGGCCTCAAAATCAACAAAGAACCTTGTCCTGAACTGAAACGTATACTGTGTACGGAGAAATCTTCGTTCTAGCTTCAAAACAGCTGAGGCTTTGTTCAAGACTAGGTGCGTGCGCAAGCCAAGAACTACCGCGTGGTCCCGTGGGGTCCTGGGAAGGGTGGGGTGGAACCCACTAGAAGCGGGTGAGTGATGTTAGAAAGTGAATACTTGATCGATTCCAAGAAGTCTTGCTTGGAATCTCAAATTTGGTGAATCCATCTATGACCTTGGCCAGCCCAGCATGCCCAGCCACAAGAAACAATCTGGCTGCAATTTTTAATTTAAGGCCCTTAGCTTCGGAAGCCGAAGCCCTCTGTTCAGCTGGATTAGATTAACTCAGGACAGGCCACCTGCCACAATCCTTCATATCGATCGCCAAGACTCACTACACCGTTACCAGCTGAATTTGCCAAAACTATTGCCGGCACCGAGATCTTTCTTTGTAGCCTGGTTTTTGGCACCTCCATTGGCCTCTAAAATTCAGTGCTGTGGCCAAGCAGCCCGTCCTTAATTTCACGGAGCTGTGTGTGGCAAATGAAAGTGTAGGTAGCTTGTCCTTAGCAGCAAGTCCACAATTTCAGCACAGTCTTTCACTCATATAGTAACAATGAAAGACTAAGATTAGCGGCCGCGCTGTCAGTGCTCGAGTCTCTCGTTTCTAAACAACACCTCAAGAACATCTGACCAAAATTGAGGCCTGGATGCCGATAATTAAAAACTTCGGCCAGACAGCCGGTTCTACTGAGCAAACCAACAAATATGGTAGCGCTGCGAGAGCTGGGTCCTTCGTTGGGCTTCGCATTCGTTGGGGTCAGAAGATCTTGCTGTGTCTGTCTGGCGAGTTCGCTGGAGCTTCTTATGAATGGCCGACTCCCCTCCCCGTCTCTCTCTCTGTCCACCGCCTCTCCCCCCACCCTCTCCCCCACCTTCCCTCCCGCCGCCCCTCCCCGCCCGTGAAATCAAAGATGAGGTTGGAAAACAGTTTGTGCCCACGGGCGAAAGGACTGTGGCAGGGGCCTTAGCCCCGCTTGATGCAGCATTGCTGTTCCTCAGCGCATTTCACCACGCAGCTTGAAGTGCTGAGGAGTGCCGTGAATGGGATGCAGCTGGACTGTGAGGGTCTGGCAGGTTTTGTCAGTGCAAGCTGTGCTCGGCACCCCATCCCAAGGGAATCTGCCCTGCAAACTGATGTATGCTTAACGTGTAGTGGCGGTCATGCTTTAGCCGTGGATCTTGGAGCCCAAACATGATGTCTTGCTGACCTTTCAAGTTCGCTGATGACCAAAAGCATGACAGGTTTATGATATCACGGTCAGCCAGAGTGGAAGCGGAAAGGCAGCACACATGCATCTTTATGACAGCGAGTCTACATATACATATACATCATGTTCAGACCTGTTCAGGAAGCATTGTGACATGTCAAAGTCACATTGAACAAGCCGCTGCTTTCTGCACATGCCTCCTTCTTTGACACGGTTCTCCGTTCACACCGAAGATGTCGTTGCAGAAGTTGTAGCCTCCCATCCCGCGAAGCTCCAGGCCAACATTCTGACACTGGCCCAGGGCATTTCAGCCGAGTTTCATGCCGGGCGCTCTTCATGCTGTTTCGCCGATTCCTTCAGTGCCCACTGCTTGTTGCAAGAAATGGGCATCTGCAGAGAATCTTGAGAGAGTTGCGAAACGACGGCTCGTGTTTCATGAGGTCTCATCCTCTCTGGTTTGCAGGTGCTCTGTGAAAGCCCAACTGCCGCCACCAGGGGGAATACTCACCCCCAAGGTTTCAACGAAGGGGGCCAGCTTTTGAAGTTCTGCACCTGACTGAAGGCTGCAAGGGGAAGTCTGCCACGGGGAGTTGATATCACATGGAAGGGGCAGGGGAAGAGGGCGTCAGGCCCGAGCTGTTGCTCAAATCTGCCTAACTGAGCCTATGCACACAGAGCAGCTCCGCGGCGTGCAATTGGCTCGGAGACTTCGGGAAAAGAGAGGGGGAGAGAGAGACCCTCTTGCCCCGGGGAGAAGAAGAGAGAGCGGGCGCGCCTGGGCGCGGGGGCATGCCCTCTAGCCCCAAGGCAAGAACGAAAGAAAAGAGAAAGAGAGCCCCCAAGCACATGCTTTCTAATTGTAAGCAGTTATGGCAAAAAGGTGCGAGAGTTTCGTGGATTCTCACCGCCTTCCTGTGACTAACAGCCCAAAGAACCATCAGCTTCGAGTTCTGTCAATAGGAGACGCCGCCGCTGTAGCCTCTGCAAGTTGAGGGTGTGAGAGTCCGAACACACGACGGTCCACGCCAACACTAAGGTTCACATCCAGAAGCTGGATCCATCAAGCATTCCTGTTGAAGAGGAGGGGGGATTTCGAGATTTTTGCAGTAGCATGTTTTTCACGCTTCCGAGTGCTTCCGAGATGCTGCACACGCTTTCGAGCAAGGACGCTTTTCAGAAATGGCTCCTGGACCGGTGGTTGAGAAAGGATGCCCAACTTTCCAGGCCATCGAGCTTTTAAAGAGAAAGAAGCAGCAGTGCCCTGCAGTGCAAGCCAAACATCTATTTCTAAATTCGTGTACTCTGTCAGATCCTTGATGCTCTGGTTCCCGTTGGATTCGCTGCCACCAGTACAGTGAGCCACAGTGCTAGGTGCTTGACTGCCTTGGATGGTCAGAGTCTAGGAGAAATTCTGCCAATTCTATCACAGGCTGCAGATAAGGGCTTCAGCTGTATATACATCGTACCTCTACTTTCCAAAGACCCCCTAATCATTTCGTATTTTTTGCCCGAATAATTATTCCGCTTTGGATCCAGGGTGTCCCATACGCAGATGAACATAAGGTTTTGCGAATAACATATAGAGGAGAATAGAGGTTTTCATATGAGAATATAGAGGAAATGTATGTTCTTTTATTAACATCTTGAGGAAAGATGTTTTCTCATGAAAATATAGAGGAAATAGAGCATTGCGAGCGCCCACGGCAACCACTAACGTTCATTGACCCAGCTTGCCCTTGGCGGAAGAGTAACAAGTCGTGAGGCAGAGTCAGCCCCGGGGGTGCGGGGGGGTTGGGGGGGGAACAGGGGAAGGGAAAGAGCGGGGAAGAGAGACAGATTTGCAGAGGCCAAGGCGATCGAGGCAATAGGCGCAAGCGGGGCAAGTGAGGCGGAAATCGGTTAGCATTGCACATGGGGCAAGTCAAGTAGCGAAGTAGCACACATAGTTTTACCGCCGGAGCAAGTGGGGCAAGCGTGGCAAGTGGCAGAAACAGTTTGTGGTGCGGGTTCGCACGCGCACTGAGATAGAGGTTCGAAAGAAGGACAGAAAGAAGGGAAGCCCTTGACTTGAAATAGGTTGTTGTTCCTCTTACTTTAATTGGTTAACAGCCTCAGCTGTAATCAGCAATCTGTGTTTGTGTTCTGCAGGGAGACAAAGATTGTCTAGAGTCTAGAGGCTATAGCCAATAAATTCAACACAGATAGTGAGTTGCTAGCGCAAGGCTGATTTGCTGTCGATTTCAAGGTTTGCCGGCGATGGGCACATGGGGGCAGATCGCGGGCCTGATGGGTGCCTTCCCCAGAACTGGGTACGTTCAACAATTGAAAAGTTCTTTGCTTGGACACGGGGCGCACGATTTGCTGAACAAGTAGAGCGCTGCGAAAGTTTGGAAGTTTTCAAAGACTCTTGAAAGGCGCCACCTGCTGTCAGTCTCACCAGCTTGTGGACAAACAGTGTTCGGCCGGGGCCTCATGTCCCTGTGAGGGGGTGCACGGCAGTTGCTGAGGCCAGGATTGCTACCAGCAAAATGAACAAACCATTGGGGAACCGTGCAACATCGTGCAGCCAGAACAGCTGGCCCCCACAGGGCATGATCACATTCGCCGCGTTGTTCAGAAGCAGGGGCATCTCCAAGCTTCAGACTCGTCATACCCACGTCTAGAGATGCCCTTGCACCTTCCAACATTGGCCAGAAGCCAGATTCAACTGCTGGTCAGAACCGAGACGCAGAAGACATGCGGCCCATGCGGCTGTGCCCAGCGGACGAGACTCGGACAAAAAGCCGCACGACATCCAAGGACAATGATGGATCTAGGGCCATCGAAGGATGCGAGACGGCTTCACCATCCAGGGTGGTGACTACCGAGGTAGATCGCAGCAGATCGCAGAAGTCTATTTCTCGTTTGCAAGACGGTCGGGAACCATGAAGCCTCCAAAGACTCATCACAAGCACCATCAAGTCCCACCTTGTCAATTCCATCGATTCCCACGACACAGGCCAGTCCCATCCAGGTTGCTGGGACTGGGGTCCATGAGGCTTTCCCCAAGGCCCTGACCAGGGGCTTGGGGTTTGCTGAAGCAGGGGCTGAGATGAATTTTGGGACATGATTTTTGGTTTTGGGGCGGGCGGGCGAGAGCCACATCTGCAACATGAAGTCGTAAAGAGGTGGTTGGCCGTGAAGACGTCTTGCAGACAGCAATGCCCTGACACTCAGGTGCCATTATGTGGTGGTTGCTGAGCACTGCTTGTTTCTTGTGCTGGTGTGCGGGGACCTAAGCACCAGCCCAGCTTCGCACGATGCTGCCACTGCCCTGATTGGATGTTTCCTTCTGTCAGGTAGCATACGCACGCTACCGCCTTCTCGCTGGAGTCGGTTTCGGTGCTCCACTAACTGAGCCTGGACAGCTCCCAATCTGAACCCAGCTTCAGCAGCTTCAGCAGAGTCGGCATGATGGACTTGCGACAATGCCGGGGAAGCGTCACGCTTCAAGCGGCGCATGCATGCTGAAATCATGCTTGGCGGCGATTTCACTTTCAGGTACTCTGTTGTTTATGGTCGCGACTGCAGTTGTTGTCCAGCAGGCCAGGGTGCGTGCGCTCTGCGTCTGCACGTCATCTGCCTGTGTAAATTGATTTTTAGCTGCGTTGCTTTGCATCTGCGTTCAGCAACGTTTGGCTCCAGCCAGTTCGCAGGGGCTTCTGGTGAGGGCTGAGATTTCTCAGTCAAGCCCCTCTAGCCAGGGAGTACTGATAGTACTGGGCGTTTGCTTGGGGGCTTTCTCGGAACCATCCGGTCTTGGATTCTCAACAATTCTCGGATCCGAGATCGTCTCCCATGCCATGTTCTAATGCAGTGTGAGGGAACGCAAGCACGCCGCGCATTGTTTTTTTGTTTGCAAAGGTGCATTTCACCCACTCTGCCAGGGCCCTACCATCCTTCGTGCTCGCTTCAACTTGTTCCACCAGTCTTCATCCCACCAGCCTGAAGTCTGGTCAGTGAGGCTCAGCCGTACTCAACACAGCTTTGCGCACTAGGTTGAAGATGTCCTTCGGCTTGGGGATAAGCCTTGGAGGCAAGCCTTTATGCGCTAGGGTGGTATGGTGCTGCCAAGGCCCAAGGCAAGAAGAGCAAGTGACATGGGCGAGCGTTCCTCCGCTCTCGCCTGCTGACTTGATGGGTTGCAGCGCAGTCGTGGTGGTGGTGTTGGTGGTGTTGGTGGTGGTGGTGGTGGTCGTGCACAATGCGCAAGGCCTACTTAGCTTGCGTATCATGCTTGGCCAGCTTAGCCGATGGCACGTTTTCCGTCAGGTCGCAGTTTCATGTGCGCGAAGAGCACATCAGATTCTGCATAGAAAGATGCCAGATATGTGGTATTGGTATGATGTGGAGCTATTAAAAAACAAGTTTGTGTGGCATATTCTCAATTCTTAAAGTGCATTCGTGGCCAATACTTTATTCAATGGCGTCTCTTTACCATGACCTTACCTCAAAAGGGAGCCCAGCTTTGTTCACTCTGGCTTTCATGTGCTGGCTTATCTTGTTGAGTGTTGATGTGTTTCAGAAGGTCCAGGTGTTTCATGCTAGTGCGTCAGTATATCCACTGGTTGCCATGCGCATTCAAGCTGTAGAGCCTAGGGCTTATCTTTCAGATTTGCATGTCATCAACTTAGATCTTGGCTCATCTCGACACTAGCCAGCCAGCCAATGCACATATCACCCTGTAGGCTTATTTTTTCTGCTGAACTTGTTTTGTTGCTTAGCATCCTGACTCGGGCCGCAAAGTAGACCCGGATCAGACCATGTGGCGGCAGTTGCTAGCCATAGCACTCGGCTGCAGGGCTGAGGACCTGGGCCGTTTTGGGTCGTTGGGTATTGGCCTCGAGAGCCCTGAAATTCCGTTGACCCGGTTGGTGAAAGGACTCGGGCTACCACGTGTACAACAGTGGAGGCTCGTACCAGGCCAATCTTGCTGTGCCTGCTCACGTGTCCTCATCGTGTGTCCTGAAGAGAGTCATTCATTGTCATCAGTGGTTTGTGCATCGACATGCTCCTGATGGCTCTGCCCAACCATCACGTGCCAGATCGCTCGCAGCACGACTTCCACCCATTATGTTTCCTGGACTCCGTCCTTTCCATCACTGCGAGAGCTCGACTGGAAGGGAGATGGAAGGGGTGATGATGCTTGCTTGCAGTGCCATCGAAGCAGCGGCAATGGTCCAACACGTGCGTTCGCTGCAAAGGCCGGCTGTCGTGAAACTAGAAAAGGAAATGAAGCCTTACCCTTCCAAGCCACGGCTCGAGACCAACTGTCGCCACGAACGTGCGTCTACCAACGCCACCAACGCCCACGTGGCTGCTGCATGGCACAAACGACCACCAACAGGGCTTTTCCTTTTGACTTTACGGCAGCGACAAACAAGGCATGCCAAACATGTAAAATTTCAGCTTTTCGTGTCCTTGCCAAGCTTTCGTTCGCGGGATCCACCCCAAAAAAGCATGTGTCTCGTGTAGGTCAAAGGATCAAGAGTCGGGCAACTTCATCCGATGATTTTCCACATGGTCTGTTGTGTTGATGTGGTAGAAGTGCGTTTGCCGTTGGTGCATCAGCATTTTTCTTTACACATGCCTGGGCCTCAGGCGACCTACAGCGGAGGCTCCTCACACCATGCCATGGACTGAGTCCAATGTGCCCTCGTGCCAGCCGCAGCACCCGACCTGACTAGGGTCCCTAGTAGGTTGCACATTAGCTCAGTTCAACACTCAGAATTGCAACAAAGCTATTGGTTCAGTTCTTTCATATTTCTTTCAGTTTCCAGGTGTGAATGGGAAGGCAAGTGACAAGTGTGAATGTCGGAGCTCTTGCCCAGGTCAGCAGCGACTCCTACCATGGCGGCAGCTACATCCAGGACCAGATACATGAACTCAGCATGATCTGATGATGCATGCTCAACTCGGTCGGTACAGCAGTCGGAATGCAAGTCTGTGGGGCGACCATTCGAGCTAGATCTTCTGGATACAAGAACAAGGAGGAGGATTTCAGCTCTGCCATAGTAAGACTTGTCAGAGACTTGCTCTGAATTCCCCAAATCCCAATGCCTGAACTGAGGACGGCTCAGAGTATAGTGGCGGTGGCGGGAGCCGCTTGCCTGGGAATTTGCAAGGCATGTGCCTGTGCATATTCTCGTCTGCAGAGTTGCACAGGCTTGCACCATGAAGAGTGCAAACCTCAATACACTTGCAACTGAGGTTATGCAACCAGCTATAGTCACTATGGTGATGGAAGCTCAGGCAGCTATGAGGCTGGGGTTTTGCTGTCAGTTGTCAGTGGCCAGAGCAGCCCACGCTAGCGCACTCATCGTTGTGCCATCGTTGTCGACGTTGCGGTGACTTTGGCGACCTTTTCACACGGAACAGAGTCGGGAGTTCGTTTAAATGGATCCTTCTACATATCTGTGGTCATTTTTTTTTGTGTTGCAGGGCGGCTCGAGCCACATCGTCGGCGGAGACAGCAGCTACGGTGGCAGTTACATCGGAGGCAGCCACAGCTCGAGCTACAGCGGAGGAAGCAGCTACAGTGGAGGAGGCAGCCACAGCTCCAGCTACAACGGAGGAGGCAGCTACAGCTCAAGCTCGAGCCACAGTGTCGGTGGAAGCAGCAGCTACGGAGGCAGCTACAGTGGAGGAGGCAGCTCGAGCCACAGTGTCGGTGGAGACAGCAGCTACGGAGGCAGCTACAGCGGAGGAGGCAGCTACAGTGGAGGAGGCAGCTCGAGCCACAGTGTCGGTGGAAGCAGCAGCTACGGAGGCAGCTACAGTGGAGGAGGCAGCTCGAGCCACAGTGTCGGTGGAAGCAGCAGCTACGGAGGCAGCTACAGTGGAGGAGGCAGCTCGAGCCACAGTGTCGGTGGAAGCAGCAGCTACGGAGGCAGCTACAGTGGAGGAGGCAGCTCGAGCCACAGTGTCGGTGGAAGCGGCAGCTACGGAGGCAGCTACAGTGGAGGAGGCAGCTCGAGCCACAGTGTCGGTGGAAGCGGCAGCTATGGAGGCAGCTACAGTGGAGGAGGCAGCTCGAGCCACAGTGTCGGTGGAAGCGGCAGCTATGGAGGCAGCTACAGCGGAGGAGGCAGCTACAGTGGAGGAGGCAGCTCGAGCAACAGTGGAAGCGGTAGCTACGGAGGCAGCTACGGCGGTGGAGGCAGCAATAGCTATCAGGTGGGGGCATATAGTTCTGCCATCTGTATGATCACATCCTGAACGAAGTGCGAAGCATATTGGCATTTGTCTCTTCAACTGGGGTTCGATGTAAGGAGCTTGCCGCACTCGGATGCTTGATGTTGGTCCATGTGACATTTTTGAGGGAGCCTGAGAAAGCTTATGCATGCGTGCAAATTAGAGCGCAACAACAAGTCTACGGTTGGGTGTCCACACTACACGAAAATGTCACAGGGCTCCGGCCATGGTGGAACCTTCGAGGCCGGGCCGGGCTGTTTGAAAGGCTTCATACGCCTCACCCTACGTCAATATGTCAGTGTGATTTTTAAGCGGTTCTTTCCATTTGGGTCCTCCGAGCGACGAGCGGTCACCCTTTCTCGAAGCATGACATGATTCGGCATGATATTTGGTTGGTAGACTTTTCGAATAGTCTTCTTCGGAGTGAAATGCAGGACAGCTATGGCGAGTCATCAGCCAAGGACGGGCATTGCGTAGTATAATGTTCTTGCATGTCCACGCGCTATGCTGCTGCTTTGCGTCATGTCGTCTCTATGATCGCTGCCGCAGCAAAAACCACAGCAACCGGCAAGTAAGTCGTGGGTAGTATAGTTCCATGCGGCTGCGCCAGTACCTCTGGGCTCAAGCACCGACCGAATGCTGACACAACATCTGAAGGGCATGCTCCGATGATGTGTGACGGCACAGCACTTTGTGTTTCTTGTCGGGTTCCTACTAAGCTGACTCAGCACCAAGTCCGAAGCTATGCATATGTAAGAACAGTGCCGCACAAAGATGCAGCACTGCAGACGATGCGCGCTTCCCACGACGGCAGACCAGGCCCTCCCCCTCCCTTGGAGGGTAGTCAGGCCTGTACACGGCGTCGCACAGCTCGATTTTTGGCAGTGTGGCATTTTGCATTTTCTGGCTGCTGTTGTTGACTCATGACTCATGACAAGGTTTTCCCGTAAGACTTGGCGAAGATCACGTCCAAAACTGTGATGCGCAAGCGTGTGCCCACTGTTTTTGAGGCTGCATGGATGAGGCGCAGAGTGCGAGCAGCTTCTACGGGAGTGCCCTGCTCACAAAAAGGATGCAATGACAGGCGTTCATGCACAACTCTCTGCTTGGAGCATGCGAGCATATGCGAGCATATGCGGGCCGAGGCCTCTTCCCAAGAACGCGCCGGGGCCCTTCTCTACCACCGATCTATGCAGCGGCGGGCGGCCGAAGCGAAGCGGCCAAGACGGCAGATGCCAGGCCTGCTGCTTTTGACGACCTGCTGACAGAAGTGGTTCAGAGTCCAGTCGTCGAGGCTTCGATCGGCGGCCTCCTTCTCTCAGCTGCTGGACGTTTTGCAGGACACCCGCACCATGAGCATCATGATGTTGTGACAGGCTGCATCGATAAGCTGCAGCCTGGGTGCACGAAGACCGCGGCTGCCTAAGAAACTCTCCCCCGCCCTGCCTTGTAGTTGCCGGCACCTCGATAGGGCTCCTCCCAAGCGCGCTTTCGACGAACCCAAGTGCCGTGACGACCCCTTCATATCCGCTGGAGCAGTTGAAGCCTGGGCAGACGCTTCGGAATAGAAGGAGACAAAGGCCAGGAAGACGAAGGGGGCTTCCAGGCTGCCATCAGCAGCCAGTGGCAGCTTTGTCTTAGAGACTCAGTAAAGTGACGGCACGGAGGTACCTGCGGAACTTTTCTTGTCAGCACGGAGCTCTGCAGACACACCCCGTGCTTAAAATGTCGCGGCGAGGTTGCAGGCATCCGTTGGCAGCTTTCGGTTGTGAGGGCTTCCGCACATGCTGTTGTCATATCAAATAGGCTTGGGTCAGAGTCTTCATGGCTCGGAGACGTCCTATACCCAAGTCGTAATGGAGATCAAAGACGCATCGCAAGCAGAGCGTCCGTATGATGCGGCTAAACATCGGTTCTGCCTCAGCCGAAAGAACGCCAGGAGTCATCGTTGGCATGACAGCAGAAAGGTCCATAGCGTCCTTGACGAGCCGGGCGATGTGGTGGCTCCACTTCGGGGGGCCGCGGTTCATGCCTGACCGGCCCGCGGCTACCACATCGCCCACGCCGACAACGGCTCGCCTAGTCATGCCTAGTCCATGCGTACGCTTCCCGGCCGCTACGAACGAAGATGCAGTGCGGCAGGACATGCGCGGGCGGGGGCTAAGGAGGTCATCGCTCAGTGGTTCCAAGCAAAACCATGCAGCCTTGACGTTCCCTTTGCTTCTCAGACGTTGCGCTGTTTTTCAGAGTTGCTTTCAGATCTGTGGTTCGTTCGCAATGCCAACGAGACCGCAAGCGCCAGGAGCTCGTCGACCATTCAAGCAAGAGCTGTAGAGCAGCAAGCCACACTAAAGTTTCGCGAGCAGACTGATGATGACCGCATCCGTGGAAGAATGCGGCATGCAACCTTCACGAATTAAAACCTCACCAAAACCATACTCAAGCTATCCATACAGATCCACAAAGCCAAAATCAAACCAACTATCGAAGATCATAGAAACCATGCTCAAGCCAGCTGTCTGAATTTGCCGCGATTGCTGGCCGGCAATGAGTTTGAATGCTGTGGACATCAAGGAAAGCAGATGTGTTTGCATACGATGAATGTTTCTCTCGCCCAGGAGGGCCTTGTACACTTCGACGAAGGCAGCCTGGTCATCGCATTCTGCACTGGTGCGAAGTTGGCGGATGACAGGCCGAACCTGTTCAGGGTGGATCTGCTAGCAAAGCTTGTCCCTAGGTGTTTCTGGGTTGGGGGTGGTGCTGAAACTTGCCCAAAAAAAGTCGTCGCCACACGGCCCGCCTCGGCTGGGGAGCCTCGCCTGACAAGGGGTTGAGGGCAGCGTTTTTGGTGCGTCGGGGTTCAGGATCCCCACAACTTCCTGAAAAGCCACCCCGGCTGTCCATGTCCCCGGGGTCGGTCAGCATTGAGTGGTGCTGGTACTAAAATGTTAAAGGTCTTCGGGCGTGTAGGGTATTTCGGTTAGAGAGCTAACATAGCATTCTGGACCTTGGAAGCATTCTAGGGTTTATCCCCTGTTCCGTGAAACTTTCTTGGGGAATGTCCAGTGTGAGGGTGCATCCAGATTGAGGGGGTGTTTGCCGAGATTCTGCTGTCGGTCACGGTGCACGGGGGGCCAATAGCGGGGGGCAAATAGCGGGGGTGGATGCTGGCGTGCGGGCCTTGAGTTGTGTGTACCTGGGCCGCTTGACGTGTGGCTATGGCGCAAAAAATGACAAAACGAGGTCTCGGGGAGGTCTGGGGTTTGAAAGGGTAATCTGGGTAAACGTTTATCAGAGACAAAACTCCCCAGAGGGGCACACATAAACCCCAAACCCTAAACCCTAAACCCTAAACCCTAAACCCCTAAACCCCTAAACCCCTAAACCCCTAAACCCCTAAACCCTAAACCCTAAACCCTAAACCCTAAACCCAAGCATCACCTTCTCGGTTGTGGCGCTGGGGAAGGCTATCGAGAGCTTCAAGGCATGGGAGTAGTTAAGCTGGTAGGTCACGGCTCCTCGTCGGCGGATACATATGTAGTGGACATTCGCAAGTTTGAAGGGGGGTTGGCGAAAGCCCGTAATGGTGAGGCATCATTAAGCAGAACATTTGTGAAAGTGTTTACGGAATTTTGCGCTAGGGTTGCCTAATATCCATAAAGCATGCAGAGAAGACGGAAGCCGCGAGAAAGTACTGCGAAAGTAGCAAGAGGCATGGGCAGCATGGCTTGTTCATTGAATGGGGGCGAGGTGTTTGTTTGGCTACAAAAGGGCCTGCCCGGGCGATTTCGTGAAGGGCGAAGAGAAGTCGTTTCTTTCTGAGAAAGGGCTTTGTCACACTTGGAACGGATCTGGAATTTTACATCACTCCCGCCATCCCCCCGGCATTTTGTGAGAGGTCTCTATCTGGGCAGCCTGCTTGGGAGGCCTTGCAGGAGAGGCTCCTCCAGGTGCCTTCAGGGTTTCCGGAAAAAACCTCTGAAAATGTAAGTATGGCGAGTAGAGGCCCCGTTCAATGCAGGCCAGGCTCCGAGTCACGTTCTGCCATATGTGAATGACATGATGCAGTGATGGCCCTGGACAGGTTGTTGCGAATTTGGATGCTTCGCGGCAAGCTAGTCGCTGCTGGTTCTATTGTCAATGCAGTCTTGCAAGCGGTTTGTCACCTCACCGCACAACGAGGAGCCGCGTGGCCTGTCAATGGTGGCGTACGCCAGCGCCAAATTGGCCTGGAGAGAGGTCCGGGAGGGCCGCGCAATCGAGTTGACTCGCATCTTCATGCATCTTCCTTTAGGAGGCCTTGCTGCTCGACCTTGCGTCGGAGTCGACAAAGAAGGCAGTGGAAGTTTCAAGTTCGACGTCGAGCCATTTGTTAAGCATGTCCTTTGTCTTAGTTTTCTGGCAATTTGGACAACTTCGTGGCAGGCGGTGCAATTCGGTCCAACAGACATCGCCAAGATCTGCTGCTTGCCCAGTTGGTATGATCAGCTGATATCAGTTTCTGACCAATCGAGGCTCAGGCTTGTGGGTAGTTCTTCTAAGCGTGAGTGTGTGGATCCACGGTCTCCACGAGTGTTGGTGCTTCAGAGTGTTTCATTTGCGTACTTCGTACATTTCGTATACCTGACTCACCGAAGCTATGCCAACAGGATGGAAGGGAGCATGCGCGCATGTTCTTGAACCTGCAGAGCCTTGCAATACATGTGCATGAGCTACATCAGGTCAAGTCATCCGTGCAACTGGTGTTCTGTATTGCCCTGTTTTCAATCTTGTTGTAGCGCGTGCAATCATCTTTTGCACACAGTTCAGCTACGGGTGTTCAAGTATGCCCAGCATGTCCTGTCTCTGGCAGGTTGGGCCTTCACGAAGTTGGACATGGTGAAGCAGGTTCCAGACTTTTGGACAGCCATGGGGGCGTCCGTGCAGCGCAAGGCATGGCTTGTGTGGGCTATTACCTTCAGAGTGTTTCGTCTGTCTTTTCAGAGTTGCACGGCATGGCGAGTCTGGGTATTGAATGCGAGTCCGTATTGTGGAGGTTCACGAGGCGCGCCCCGTGGACCTTTCGATGCACTTTGTCATGCAAACAAAGCTCTTTTGTCTCTTGTGTCACGACAAAGAGCAAGGCTCTTATGTGGAGGTGACGTATGCATCCCGCTGTCGTGCGACTTTGTGCATGTACTCAAGCTAGGACCTAGGGCCCTGAGCAACGGAAATGCCTAGCCTTTATCTGTGATCAATGTTGTATGAGAAGACCAGCGAAGGATCGCATGGGCATTCGGGATGGCCGAGAGTGGAAGTCCTGCGATGTGTATGGAGATTTCAAGCACCACGATGCGACTGATGCAGGAAGAGGGTGTGCAAAACGACAACAAGCATCGCTTGCTGATTTGAACTTGGAATTTGGTCAGCCATGAAGATGTCAGGAGCTGACACCCCAGTAGACAGCTCGTGGTTTTCAGTCACGCCAGATGAACATGAAATACCCCTGATCAGGATCTTACACCCCAGTGTCTGGCCAACATCGCCTTGGTTTTCGCTTCTTGGCGTGACAGGGTCAAAGAACCTAGGTACATCAACGAAAGTTAAACGCATAGCAGTGGTAAACCAGAAAGCCGGTGAATCCCAGGAAACTTACATCGCGGTGTGCTTGTCGAGCTATGTTGATCTGCACACTCGTCCCAACGAAAGCATTGATTCAATTGTTTCCTGGGGCATACTTTGAAAGACCATAACCGGTTGGAATCCTCGTAGTCTTTTTTTGGAGGCATTCTTCGCAAAGCAGGGTGCCAACACTCGGGAGTTCCAGCGTCAATACTAGGGGGGTTTAGATTGCTGATGCCGCACGAGGCACGTGCGCGACGCACGCGCCTAGGAGCGTGCATCTTCTGGGGCTTTTGGAGGCTCCCGGAACGTGGTTTGCATCGTTCGGAGGGTGCCGAATCTCGCGCCCCGCGTACGTTCCGCACTTGAAGTCGTGGTCGTGCATCTCCAGCCTATCTTCCGCGCATGTTGTGAGGCTTGTGTCGCTCTGTGTCGCGAAAACCGTGGCAGGCTCATGCTATCCTGCTTTTTGGCTTTGATGGCTTTTGGATGGCTCGCTTTGTGCCGGGCCGGGTCCGGGTCCGGGTTTGGACAAGGTCCGGGTGGGGGTCGGTCCGGGGGGTCCGGGGTTCGGGTCCGCACATCGCGATGTTGAGCCAAAACGGGTGCCTTGCCCAGGTGGCGAGAGCCAACGTCCGATCCGCTGGCGCCGGCGATCTAAACACCCCCCCGCCCACTAAACATCAGTGCTTTTTGAAAGAGCAAGCTGAAGTATTCTTTCCGAAGGATTGGTGTTAACCTTTGAAGAACCATTCGAGAAAAAATGCGAGTGTTTGTGGCATCCGGTATGCCAGTTCGTGTGTAAGAAACTTTTTGGAAGGCTCG